TGGTCACTAAGGAACATGGTATAGGAAGGTTTGCCTTTCTATTTTTCTTAAGATAAATTATATAGGTTTTAACAAAAGAAGGAAATGAAATAAGGAGATATTTTGCAATCTTTGTAGCTTCCTCCGTGGTCATCAAAATGTTGGTTTGCTTGTCACTTTTTAATATTTCTATTAGAAACTAGAGAGAGTCTGGTTTTTAGTTCTCTAAATTAGAAAGTAAAGTTTGTGATTGGATCTCATCACTGTTAATCATCTCAGATTAAAAGAAGGTGAGAAGACCTGCCTCAAAGGAAGAGGCAAGCAAGTCTTGTCCATAGAAATTGATTGTAAGAAAACATTTTTTGTTTGTTTTGTTTGCCTTCCTAAGATGGGGGACAGGGTATTTATAGCTCAACATGTAAAACATTTCAGGGGAGGAACTTTAACAGTAGAGGGCTGAACATCCAATAAGTGCTTTTTGTTTATTAATATTACATTGAATAGAAAATAAAAAGACCTTTGTTGACGAAAAGCCTCTCCTAGATGTCTGTCTCTTAGAATTTTAACCTTTCACTCACAACCTCATAAAAAGTAGTAATCATTAATTTAGGACTTGGCAAAGAGAATGGACTGTCCCTGGACTTTGGCCAAAAATTCCCTTAAACTAGAGATTTTTCACATATCCCCTTTTCACATATGAGAAACCTGATATTCAGGAAAGTTTACTTGCCTAAAGCCCAAGCTGAGGAAATGGCTGTTGTGTGTTTCTTTCTCCAAGACTCACCTGCAACATTTATTCCTTTAGATGCTCAAAAAGCTTAGTGTTCCTATGAACCTTAGCATTGTTATATGTAATTCACTTTCTCACTGAGTTTCGCTTATGATTTAATAGGTTGTATTGAGAAACACAGAAAGAAGACTAAAGAAGTAACCATGTCCTTATTAAGTATCAGGATGGGGTGGAAAATGGGGAAATAAATAAAAGCTAAAGTACATTTTTTTCCTATGAGAAAAGCTTGTGTATTACCTTCTGTATTCACACATGGCTAAATGAACCTGAAAATGAGCGTCTGAGAACAGGCACACAATAATGATTCAGAAATTGCCATCCATATTGCTATGGACCCATTTCTCTACTATTAGGGAAACCAAAGACTCAGGAAAGAGCATCCCATGTGTTAGGAAGCCTTGAAGAATTGAACTGCTCCATTAGCTTGAATTGATTTCAGTGAAAACTAGAGATAGGTGAGCCATAAAGCATCATTGACACCTAGAGACTAAGTGGCTTGGACATTTGTCTGTTTCATTCAAAATACCAGTTTATTGCATGAGTTTCTTTACCTTAGTGAAGGAGAAATGAGTGGAAGAAAAATTTCACTATGCGTGGAAAGAACGTAAGAAAAATGGAAACATTTTCAATATTTGCTAGGCTAAAAGTTAAAAACACACTTATTATGGAATCTCAGTTCGTTAAATGTCAACAATATGCAATAGCTAGAATTTAGTAGTATAAAACTGTTCCAAGAAAAAAGAGCAATTTACCAATAATGTGGGGAAAAATAAATTGAGAAGAGAGATTTTATGATTCAGGAAACACTATATGTGTAGTTGTAAATCATAAATTTTAACAGGAAAGAGAGCTATTGCATAGAAGAAAAGAGCAAATGAGCAAGATTTGAGTATATGAGAAAACAAAGTGGACATATTACCTATCTTGCAAAATAATTATAAACAGAATTCTGCCTGAATGGAGTATTTTAATGACTAAGATGGATTGCAAGATATTCTACCCTAGTTTAACCTGTTATGATTTCTTTGTAAATTAAAATCAATAGTTCTTGTGAAATAGCCAACCCAGATGCTGTTGTTTGCTGACAACTTTTTCATCATCAGTGTAATTTTTAAAGCTGGTGTAGGGCCCTTGCATGTTTAAAATGCACACATCTGAGCTTGTTCCTGGATCAGATAATGTGAATATGCTGGATTCTTATATTTCTGGAAATAGGCTCAAACCACTTTTGGTGGCTGTGACCCTTAAAGCCATTGGAATCAAGTGGTCTATTGATATTTTACTTACCACAGGACAATACCTCAGTGAAATTCCATAGGAGTTTGGGGTGGGGCCATAATAAAAATAAAATATGCCAATCAGGAATTCTTTTTCTCTTGTCCTTAAATGGAATTTTCTTTCTGTCAGCTATAGGTGAATGTTTTAAGGGACTTGAAAGATCACTTTTTTCCCCATTAGTCAGACATTCTAAGAGTAAGGGATAGATGAAGTGAGATTTCATTACTTAAATTAGAATGCTGGGATAGAAAATTTCCCCCATCCACCCCCTTCTTGGATATATGCACACACTTTAAAATACTTAAGATAATTTAAAATACTGGGGCAAGGACATTTGATTAGCCAATTTCACACACCATAGACTGCACAAGTTTCCACTTATTTCATGTGACTACTAGTTTTATATTTTGACTATGAAATATAACAAATACAGCATAATGGGAAACTCACTGGATTGGCAGTGTAAAGACTTAAATCATTAGTCCTGCTCGTCATCGTATTGATTTTTACTTTTTTCAGGATGGAAGAATTGGGATTAAGTGATTTTTAAAGCTCTTTTCAACCCTAACTAACATTTCATGACTTATTTAATACAAATTTTACTTTTGAAGTTATTTGTTTTTTAATGATTATGTTGTCCCTTTATAAGGCTTTTTTAGATAATTGGAGTATGGTAGTATTTGATAAAATATTACCTCTACATCATTAGTTCCTATGCTGTGTTTACTTAAGGAATGGCTATTATGAGGGACTGCTAAGATCAAGAAATAGAGTGTTTTTGAACTTGTTAATAATCTACTGTGCCTTTAAGCTTCAAAAATATGGCTAGCCCTAGTGTTACTATCACTAGCCCTTATGCTAACTAGTCCTATTATTTCTTTCACTTTTGATAGCTAACCCTTTGGAAGTAATAGAGGTATGCCATCTTGGTAAAGTTTTGAGTACTTTGCTGTTCACAAAAATCAAGAACTATTTCTTGAGAACCATCACAATCCATTTTTATTATTTTAGAACTATTAAGTAGAAATGTATAACAGATGTTCTTCCCTCTGCACTATATGATGGGTATTGGAGATGCACCAACAATGAACAAAAACAGGGATGGTCACTGCCCTCAGCTCTATGACAGAGAATCAGGGAAGGCTTCCCTAAAGTTGTAAAGTCTGAGTTAAAACCTGAAGGACAAATAAGTGTTAGCTGGGTGTGGAGGGGAAGATGAGAGTATTTTAGGCACAGGAAAGAGTATGTGTAAAATTCTTATTCTAGGAAAGAGTGTGGCATATTCCAGGAACTATGAACTGCCATTTCTTAAAGAAATGACATTTCTAATGTCATTATGTCATTATGAAAGAGACTGATTTCTGTAAGTCAGACACAACACTCCATCTCATTATGTATTTCATAGTCATGCCTTATGACAGGATTAAAATTTTCTTTCAATAAATCATTAGTATTCTAACCCTCAAATGTCTTCCATTTGTCAACACTTTTGACTTATGGAGGAGAGCTAAACACACAGAGGATCTCAAAGAATATAGGATTAAAAATGTTTGCACTGACATATTTAATAAAATGACATGAGAGAGATTAAATTTGTTCTTACCACACATGTAAATATATTACAATAAACCCCCCAAATTATGCAAAGGTGTATATCACACAATTGGTGATTGGCTCCTGTGTTCCTTCTATCCCCGCCTCTGTTCCTACATGGGGAAAGAAGAGGCTAAAAGCTTTATTTTCTGGATAGGGAGAGAGAGGGCATAGAGAAATAGTAAATTATCCAATCTCAGAAAGCCAGGAGATGTCAAGTGGATCCACACATCTCCCTATTTTTCTAGCGTAATCTTTCCAGATTCCTTCATTGCAAATTTCCTAGATTTCCTGACACACAGCTCTGGGAGTCCCAGCCAGCCCCAGGACCCTTGCCTTATGGGTTTTAGAGCTTTAGCAGAGGATTCTGGTATAATTTTGGAGATTTAAAGATGGCTGCATTCTACTAGCCCTTTCATGAATCTCGCCTGGGGGCTGGGGTAGGGATCAGGGAATTACAGGAGATGAAATACTGCCTAGAGTTCTCGCTTGATGTTTGGGATGACAGGCAGTAGAGAACCACAGTCCTTCTCCTCCCAGTGTTAGCTGAGCGGTCATCCATGAAGGGGAGTTTGTGCTATTTGGCTGTGAGGAGGACAGAGAGGAAGGACTTTGGTCCATCTCTGTTTAGGAGGTAACAAGGTTGCCCTGCTCCCCCTACCTATCCCCTCCCTATGGTGCATTTGTGATGTGGAGGAAATCCGGAAGATCTTAGGCAAGCTAGATGCCAAAGGGGAGATCACTCACATCTAGAAGTACCCACAGCACTAGCTACAGCCCATGTGGGGAGCACTCAGGAGACTGTGGGGATCCCTCAGCAACATTGCATAATTTTCCCGGTGGACAGGATACGGTCACTCTTAAGGTACACGGAAGAGCAGTAGCAGGTAAGTCCTCGTCCATTGAAACCTCATTATTGTTCCCACTGGACTTGGGGCCCTTTCAACCCTCAGCTTTCTCTTCTTTTGCACTGGAGCTGATATATCGGCCTCGTGATACTCCTGAGAGTTCTGAGTCAAGTGGCAGGTACAGGAGGGAGAAGCTCAAAGACGGAGCCTTGTTATGGAATTGAGTTACGAACCCAAGCTCCCTTGACTGGGCTGCATTAACACAACACATCTAGAACATCCAGGCTAGATAGACAAGGGGTTTCAAGTTCATAAATTAAAACAGTTCTAAAAATAAACCTGTATTTTGAACTACTCAGTTTTGCATACTATCTTATCTATGAAATATACGGTCACATACACTGGGGAGAAAAGAGAGTCAAGTCCTTTGTTATCATTTACAGTTCATTTTACTTTCCCCAAAGGAAACTGACATAGATCTGCGGGCAGCAGGTGTTGGGACTCTGCCTCACCTTGTTCACAGAAGATTCCCGTGGTTCCTAGAGGACAGAAGCAGGCGTAGCCATAAGGCAGTGCGACACAAGTGGCTCCTTTGCTACACTGGGGTGGAGGGTCATGTTCAGGGTCACAGGCGGAGACTGTCTCCATGCAGAAGGCTCCTTTCCACCCAGTGGGACAGTCACAGCTGTAGATTGAGAAGGAAGACAGCATGATTTGAACACTTGAGCAGAGATAGTTTACACGTGTGAACTATCATCCTGGCGTTAACGTGCCAATTTTGACTGAGGTTCCAAGACAGAAAAGATTTTGCATGTCAAAGCAAATTGGGATTCAAACAACCAAGATCCAAACTGACAACGAAAAGAGTTAATAACTGGTTGTGGGATTACTGGATTTTGCATCAAGGATTTAGAAAGGTTCAGCATGTGGTGATTGAAAGAGAATGTCATGAGAATCATTTCTTTGGACAAAACAGCATTAAGGGTCCCTCTCCCTGACCCCACACCACCACCAAGGGGGAAGGCTGTGAACAGAGTTGCAACCTCCTCTTAAGCCTTAAGCTTTGAAAAAAGAAATTCATCTTGATATATGTTCTGTGACATTGGTGAACACGCAAGCCCAGCTTCTGGGCTGCAGAAGAAATGGCAAACCCCATCAGAGAGGAGGCAAATGGCAGAATCCCAGGCAAAGGGTGTGGCCCCCTGAGTTAGGATAAGCTTGGGCACATATGAAAGGGGTCTTGCCCAGAAGGTATCCTGGTAGTTGAAGGGACCTCACGGTAAGAGGCAGTCAGTTGATGACTGGGGCAGAATCTGAGTGGGAAAGGGGAGTACCCAGTTTGAAGAGAGGTCTTGTCTGGCTTGAGAGAGTGATAATTGGAGGAGCTCATCAGGGAGCCCAGCAGATGGACCCACTAAAGGTAGAGTTGTCAGATGAAATGCAGGGCACCTGATGAGATTTCAATGTCAGACAATAAGTTTTTCGTATAAGTATGCCCCATGCAATGTTTGAATTTCAGACAAGCAATATTTGAGATATACTTAAAAATTATTTGTTGTTTATCTGGAATTCATATTTATCTGAATAACCTGTATTCCTCCCACCTCTTAAATTTGGCAACCTTCCACTAAGGGCACGTGCGAGAAAGAGTTAACTTTAAACCCTCACAAGGCCCAGACAGCACTAAACCATCAAGAAAGCCTGTGAATGAAGGAAGCTCATTCCAGGATGTGGTGTGGGGCGCAGTCAGAAAGATAGCAGTAGGGGATCACACCTCTTCCGAGACCTCCCATTCATGTCTTACTCCTGGCTGGATTTAGGCAACAATCTCGAAGAGTACAGTGTTAGTATTTTGAAGTGGACCTTTGAATTAATGAATTGAGAGTGTATTTGTAAATTAAAGTGTCTATTAATCAAGTCAAAGTAGAAAATTCAACGGACCTCCCCATGTTTTAATCCAGGACCAAGAAAAGGATGATTCTTACTAAGCGGGTTTAAAAAGAGAGTAAGAACCCAAAGTAAATTTTACTTTCAGAGTACATCCATGAGTCCTGAGTCACACTTACTTGCTTTCAGTCATTGCAGTGGTCTTTACTTACTGGTAAACTGTAGACATAGATGACAATAACAGCACTGCTGGGGGAGTTAAAAAGCATCACCAATAGTACAATTTTTTGTTTTGTTTTTTTCTTTAGCTGAGCCATCCTGCCACCTGTTGGCAGCTCAGCGGCAGCTCAGCTCAGGCCAAGGCATCGAACCGCTGTTGCTCAGAGCTCAAACTCTTGAGTGAGATCTTAACCAACTGAGCCATTCAGCCGGCCACCAATAGTACAGTTTCTAAGGTAAACAAGTCAAGAAAAAGCAGGGAGAAAACAAAAGTATCTTTAGTTCTGTTGTTTTCTTTAGGCTGGTAGAGTCCTTATAGATTCTGAGGATTAAAGGCTGCTCACATGGTCCCCTCTGGTGGATCAACCTGTATGACACATTATATGCCATGCAGAGGGGAGGTAAGGACAATGTATACTCTTCCTGCAAACATCACTAACAACCTTTATCATTTTATTGAAACAATAAGTAAGAGCTTTATAAAACTGAGATTAAATGAAAAAAAGAAAATCAAAATCACTTGTAACCTCTGATCATGGCAAGGCTGACATTTTTTTTTTTAAAGATTTTTATTGGGGAATTGGGGGGATGGGAACAGTACTGGGGAATTAGGGGAAGGGGAACAGACAAGTTGCTGTCGTTTTGTTCTTCAATCTAGTTGTGGAGGACACTGCTTCACTGGCCCAAGTTGGCACCATCATTGCGCTCTTCCCTGGTGAGGCAGATCAGTCGCCGGCTTCTGGACGGCCGCTCACTGCGGCTGCTGGCCGCTCACGCTGGTTGCTGGCTACACATGGTCGCCCATGGCAACCCACTGCCACAGAGGCTGCAGCCTACGCCGTTGCCGGTGACTCACGGCAGCCCAGCTCCAGGTTGAGCTGTTGTTCAGCATCTTAGCTGTGGAGGGCAGTGTCACTGGCCCTCATATGTGGGATCCGAACCGGGGCCCTCTGGCATCCCAACCGAGTTCTTAACCATCACGCCACTCGGCCGGCCCAAGGCTGACATTTTTTAACATGTATTTTTCCACTACGTCCTCTAAGCATATTTTAACATTAAAGATTCTGAGAAAATTGTATATTCACAGGTAAAAGAATGAAATTAGGCCTCTACCTTCACCACTCACAAAAATGACCTGGAAATGGATTAAAGACATATTTAAGACCTGAAACCACAAAAGTCCTAGAAGAAAACAGAGTGCTCAGTTTTGCCTGTTTTTAAACTTCACATAAATGTAATGATATTGTACATATTCTTCTATTACTGCCTTTCACTCAGAATTACGTTTTTTGGGATTCACCCATGTTGATACATGGAGCTGTTGCATTCATTATCAGTGCTATATAACTCGATGAGCAGAGCTCATATATTTTTGTGTAGTTAGAATTTTAATATTTTCTTTTATGGTTTGCATTTTTGTGACTTATTTAAGAAATCTTTCCCTATTTCAAGGTTGGAAAGACATTTTTATGTTGTCTCCTAAAACTATTATAATTTTTTCCTTTTACATTGAAGTCTTAATCTATCTGAAATTATTTTTTGTGTTTGACATGGGGTAGAGATTGAACTACGATTTTCCGTATGGATAACCAACAGTCCTAGCACTCTTCATTAAACAGTTCATCCTTTCCCACTGATGAGCCATGTCTATTTACGCATGGTCTTCTGCCTCTCTATCTTGTTCATTAGTCTGTTGGTCTAACTTTGGGCCAGTATCACACTGTCTTAATTTCTCTGACTTTTTAAGAGGTCTTCATATCTAGGGATGGTGAGTTCTGTGCTCTCGGTTTTCTGTCTAGGAATGTCCTGGCTATTCTTAAGCCCTTTGCTCTTTCACGTCTTTTCTTGTCAACTACTCCCAATGTCAAGATAGGCAAATTTCCTTTCTTTCTACTTGTGTACAGTGGGGTTCACCTGTTTATTCTTACACGGAGGGTGTAGTTCTTAGGGGTGCCAGACCTATGAGGAGTCTCCTGTTGGATCCCTCACCTCGGGCAGTCCTTAGCTTTTAAGTCCAGTCCATTGTGCAGCCTTCAGAGGGTAAGTTCACCATCTCCAGGTTTTAGCAGGAACTCGGGGCTAAAGCCAACTTGGATAAAGCTTACTTTATAGAGTCTTGCTTCTGTTTTGTTTGGTCTCTATAAACGTACTGTTTCATTTCAGGTAACAGTGTTATGAAAATACACATTTTATATTTTTTTTCAGATTTGAATGTTCTCATTTGGGAAGATTGTTCAGGATATATAATTCACCACAGTTTTACAAACTGAAGTCCCTATAAATGACTTTAAAAAAAATAAAACATAATATTTAGAAACATCTTCCCATATTCATTAATTCGTTTCCACCATTAATAACTTTGTATTTAATGGTTGAATATTATTTTACTAAATGGATGAAATATGCTTTATTCTTTTTGTCATTAGTGAGATATTTTATATTTTCTTTATTTTTCATTTTCTACAAATAGCACTGTGATAAAACTCATGTAGCTAAAATCTTTGTGCATATCTATGCTCATTTCCTTGGGATAAATTCAAATATCATCATGACCTCTAGGCTTTGGATACATATTCCAACTTTCCTGCCATAATAATTGTACCAATTTACATTCCCATCATAAGTGAATGAAAGAATGCTCCTGAAATAATAGGTGTGTATATAATTGAAAATATGGAACATTCTTATAGGCTTCTTGTTCTTTATTAGCCCAATAATTATTTATTAAAATAAAAATGATTTAGTGTCTGCCTACACATATTTATCAGGGACATACTGATTCCAAATTCCTATATTTTCCTTTATTATTTGGCAGCCTAAACAAATGCCTCACCAAAATATTTTTATTTTTTATTTTATTTTATTTTTTTTAGTATTTACCATGTGCGTAGCACTATCTTAGATCATATAGGATGAGCAGAAGCTGTGTAAGATGTGAGCCCTGGCCCAGGCTAAGATGAGGTGCGCTAGGGTAAAGCATCACTAGGCTGCATGTGCTGGGGAACTTAGTGAGTGGCACAGAGAAGTGTTGCCAGAATCCAGAAGCCAGCATAGGGAATAACATCACATCATACGTTCACTGATGCACTGTTAGACTTTGGATCTGAGGGGAATTTACAGCAAAATATCTCATGTATCTAGACTTACAGACAGGCATAGGCACATACACAAAATGATAAAAAACAAAATTCTATTAGGATACTGCCATTTTATTAAATAGGGTGTTTATATGGGTCATGATGAAAGAAAATTCATATTTGTATTGTATCTAAGTTAATAGTTGTGTAAAAAAAAGTTTGAGAAGTTGTATAAGGTTCTCCAAAATAGCAAAAAACAAAATACAGAAGTAACCTGCTACAAAATTACCTAATGATTTTGATTATTGTTTGAAGATCAAAAAGAACATAAAACATGTAAAGACTTTTTATACAAAAAATAGAACATCTTACTAATTTTATAAAGAAGAATAAAACTATAGTAATTCTTATTAAAGAATTTTTATATAAAAAGAAAACTCTACTTTCATTACTTTTTTATGATGAGTGCACCATCTAGTGGTCCATTTATATCCACTTGAAG